AAAGCGAGCATAAGAAGTTTACGAGTTGCTTATGAGCTTCTTATTTCCCTTTACTTATTGCATCACCACTCTAATTTGGTGTCATGGATGGCTCTGCTATTATCCAGATAGCAGAAGAAAGGGAAAAGGTTTTAAATGATCCGAATTGTATCATGCCTGCCGCATTCGTTTCGTTCAAGACTCGATGGGGAGCAGCAGTTTGTGCACAAACTCAACAATCAAGAAATCCAACTTTGTGGTTAACAGAGTGGGCTCCCGAGCCGCGCGATGTATATTGGCCAAACCTAGCCATTCCATATGTGTCGCTCTCAGTTAGAAGGCTGATAATTGGAGTTTCGTTCTTTTTTCTTGCCTTCTTTTTCATGATCCCTATTGCATTTGTTCAATCTCTAGCAAGTATTGAGGGAATTGAGAAAAGCCTTCCCTTTTTGAAGTCTGTTATTGAAGTGTGAGTTTTCTTTCATTACAATGCCTCATCACTTAGTTGCAAGCTTCCCTCCTAGACATTACCGATTGTTGTTTCATACAGAGAATTTATCAAATCAGTTGTCCAAGGATTTCTACCCGGGATTGCGCTAAAGCTCTTTCTTATCTTACTGCCGACGCTATTGATGATGATGTCTAAATTTGAAGGCTTGACATCTCTATCATCTTTGGAAAGGAAATCAGCAATGAGATATTACATTTTCATCATTATCAATGTGTTCCTCGGAAGCATACTCACCGGGGCTGCATTCGAACAGCTAGATTCTTTTATCAAGCAGTCTGCCAGCGAGTACGTTTTTCTCACAGTTTTATTCATGCAATTTCAGTGAAGAGCTTCATTTTTTTGTGTTTCTTGCACGTTTCCTCTGTGCAGAATTCCTAAAACAATTGGTGTAGCTATTCCAATGAAAGCAACTTTCTTCATAACCTATATAATGGTTGATGGATGGGCTGGAATAGCTGGAGAAGTTCTAATGTTGAAACCATTGATAATTTACCACTTGAAGAATTTCTTTTTGGTGAAGACTGAAAAAGATAGGAAAGAAGCAATGGATGCAGGCAGTCTTGGCTTCAACACCGGCGAACCCCGTATACAGCTATACTTTCTGCTGGGGCTTGTATACGCACCAGTCACACCTATTCTCCTTCCATTCATAGTTATGTTCTTCGGCTTCGCTTATGTGGTGTACCGTCATCAGGTAAGATTCGATCCTTTTGGTTATACCACGTTCAATCTGCAGACTGTTTATGTTCATATTCTCTGCAGATCATAAATGTTTACAACCAAGAGTATGAAAGTGGCGCCGCATTCTGGCCTGCTGTCCATGGGCGTGTTATTACTGCGTTAGTAATCGCACAGCTGCTTATGATGGGACTGTTGAGCACAAAGCAAGCTTCCAGCTCAACACCATTTCTCATTGCTCTTCCTGTCCTCACTATATGGTTCCATGTCTTCTGCAACGGCCGCTATAAATCTGCGTTTGTCAAATATCCATTACAGGTGTGTGACTGCTCCGATTTACCTGCACGATTCTCATCATTTCTTATATCAATCTGAAAGTGTTTTATATGGTATGTCAAGATAGAGTTACCTAACTTCTATGTTCTTGACTAAATTCTTGACAGTTGATACTGTCAAGAATTTAGTTTTTCTGCCATGATGCTTGTCAATGGTCACTTGGTATGGCACAAAAAATCCACATATATAGCTTACCCCAGCTAGTTCGAGGTTAAAGCTTTGCTGTCGTTGATGCTTGTCTAATTCGTTGTTATTAAAGAGCCTTATAAAATCTTTTTTTAAGTTATGTTTCCTTAGTGCTCTTGGATATGAAATAAATATATACAGAATTAAAATTATATATTTAGTTAAAAACATAAAAACTCATTCATTCTAATACTATATTAGAAAAAGATTTATTTTATATATATTTCTTTGTATCTCTAGCAAAACACTTTTTGTACATTCTACCTATAATTTCAGAACAAAAAGAGAAGGGAGACATGTCTCTTTTGTCTCAATTATCTTTATTTTTTTATTCCAAAAAAATAACAATACAAAATTTCATAATTCACTGAAGGCTTGGGCTTCTAAACTATACATTTCTTCTATCATCTTACAAGTTCTAATCTGACTACTATCACTGCTCTATCCAGTAAAAAAAATGAACAATTCTTCCTTTAAACTTTTGAATTCTGGTTTTCAGGAAGCAATGATGAAAGATAGCCTGGAACGAGCAAGTTCTCCAAACTTCAATTTCAAATCCTACCTCGAGAAAGCATATGTGCATCCAGTTTTCAAAGGAAACGGCAACGATGATGATTATGAACAGTATCTGAGTGAAAACCAGGAAGCTGATGCTGAGAATGTGTTAGTGCCTACAAGACGCCAATCTCAAAGAAATTCGCCAGCAGTAAGCCGAGCAGCTTCACCTGCTTTATCCGAGGAAGTTCAAACCGTAGAGCATCGAGTGTGACACTTGCATGCCGATTACATCTCGTACTAGTTCTACAGTGGGCAAAGGAAGAAGGGCTAGCTGAAAAATCCTCACAGGAAATCAACAAGCTTTGGATTTTGTGGCAATGAATGGCACTTCAATCTTCAAACACAAATGTAGATATATATATATATATATAAAATCACGTGAGTTTATTTTTATTTATCATTTGGGTTAATTTCAAGTCTCTTATTTTTTTTCTATAATTTTAATAATTATTTTTTTTAGTTTTTTCAGTAATAAATCTCACATTAAAGATAACACCTTTCTATTTATAAAAAAACATCATTAATAATTTAAAATTTGATGTATATTTGATATTATGGTAATTTTTATATTTATAATTTAAAAATACAGATTAAAAAAAAACTATAAATTATCGAGTTTTCTTAATAAATTTTTTAAAAAAATTCAAGTGTAACCCATGCAAGAAAATTATGCGGAAGCACAATGAAACTTCAACAGCAATTCACTACATGAACCCTTAATCAAAAAATTTGAAGTACAAATAAAATATTTAATTGAAAAGAAAAAAACTATATATAGATTCAAATTAAAATTAAATAATAACAAAAATTGATTCTTAACTAAATTTTCAAGAGAAGATTTCTAGTGATATCCATACAAAAAATTGTGGTGTAGCTAACTAAGATAGCCTTAGATATTGTTTTAAGGTTTGTTTTTGTTTTTTAAAGTATTTTTTAGTTTAAAAATATATTAAAATAATATTTATTTTATTTTTAAAAATTTAGTTTTGATATCAACACACCAAAAAAATTCAAAAAACACAAAAAATCTTAATTTAAAATAAAAATAATTTTTTTAAAAAAATACAATGCCACCATAACAAAAAATACTAAATATTTTTAAAATTATGGTTAAATCAAAACATAGCTTAACTAAAAAATTGAATTACAAATAAAATATTTAATTGAAAATAAAAATAAATAAATAATGTGGTATATAGATTCAGATTTTAATTAAAAAAATAACAAAAGTAGAAATACCTAGATTAGAAAATTTGTATAAATACAATCCCTCACATTTTCATTACCTCCCCTTTGCATTAGTGGACTTACCTTATATAATAGTAATTCAATTCAGAAAAGGAAAATCTGATGCAAAATTACCCAAAACTATGAAAAACCTCAAAAAGTCCATCTCCCCTTCTAATCTTTATTACCAAAATCTCATCCAACATGAACGTAGAACACAAACAATTATAAACAATTTCATCACTTTTAATCATATATTAAAACATTGTTTGGTATTATATTTACACTATTTTTTTTGTTTACAAAAATTTCAAAGTAAGTTTGTATTATATTTTTGTAGTTTATTTTGAATTATTTTGATATTTGATAACATTAAAGAAACATATAAAAATGCTTCAATTTAATCAAATATATTCTTATTATTTATTTATTAGGTATTAGAGGTCCTAAAAAGTGAAGTCAAGTCAAGAAAGAAAAATGAAAAGGAAATAGACAAAAACAGTGTGCGTTAACAGAATTGAGAAAGAATCAATGGGTTTTTTTTTGTCGTTTTCTTTAAAGTCAGAGATTTGCTTCTCTTCTTGTCTTCATCTTGATCACCCCTACATCTTGATCACCCCTATATATATAAAAAAAATTCACATTGTTTACCTCTCCCTCCTACCAAACACTCTCGTTCTCTAACACATTCACCTAACAATATTAAAGTCATCATCTTTTTTATGTTTTACTTCTGATCAGGTTAGTTTCAAAATTTCTATGTGTTTCTATGGTTTGCATGGCTGGTTTTCTGCTAATCAGAGAATTATGGATATTTAATTTTTTTTATTGCATTAGATTAATCATGGGTTTTGATTGAATTTATGTTTGCTTATGCAATTTTGTGTTTCTATGATATCAGTTTTACTAATATTTAATTTTTTTAATGTTTTTGTTTATGGGGTTTTGTTTTTTATGATGTTTTAGCTGACTTGACTCCAAGTCAAGTCAATGCAGCTGCTTTTTATTTCTGTCTGTTACTGTGAATTTGGCCCAGTTCTTTCTTTTTCTTTTTGTTCATAGTTAATTTTGTGTGTGTGATAAAAAACGATAGAAAAGTTTTAATTTTTGCAATGTGGGGATTGTTTTCTTTTGATGGGGTTTTTGTTTAATGTGAAAAGAAGTGAGATGTTTAGATTTTGGCACTGGTGCTTGGTTAAAGGTTGATGGCTATGTGTGTTTGATATTGTTAGCAGTGACAGACAATGGCTGCTGTGATTGCCAAGATGTGCTAGGTTAAAGGTTGATGGTTTTTTATGTTTGATATTGTGCAGTGACAGACAATGGCTGCTATGATTGCTAATTCTCGGATTAATAGGGGTGGTGGTAATAAAATTAGGAGATTTCAAGGAGCTGGTTTGAAGTTTTCATGCCGTGAAACAAGGGAAAGAAGTAAGGAAAATAGATTCAACGAGGTAGTAGCATCGAAGGCGAGAAGGAAGATTTCATGTAAGAAAGTGGAGGTAATTCAATTGTCATCAGACAGTGATGATGATGATGACTGGTCGCCCCGAAGGAGAAAGAAGGCTTTGAATAGGAAATTGATATTAGCCCCAGAAAGTGATCTTTCAGAGAGTGATCACCAGTGCTCGCCCTCGGAAATAAGGAAAACTTTGTCTGAGCAAATTAAGGCACCCCCAGAAATTGAATTGTCAAAAACTGATGATGAGCAGTTTCTGGGAGCAAGATGGAAAGCTTCATATGAGAAAATTAAGGCAGCCTCTGAAATTGAATCTTTGAAAAATGATGATCAGTGGTGTTCAGGAACAAGAAGGAAAGCTTCAACTAAGAAAATTAAGGCAGCATCAGAAATTGAATTGTTGAGAAGTGATGATCAACGGCGCATGGGAACAAGAAGGAAAGCTTCATCCAAGAAAATTATGTTAGCTCCAGATGTTGGATTTTCGGAGAGTGGTGGTAAGTTGCCTCCAATGAGATTTGAAACCTCATCTAAGAAAATTAAGTCAGCTTCAGAAATTGAGTTGTTGAAGAGTGATGACGAGTGGTCACCGCGAGTGAGGAGAAAATCTTCATCTAAAAAAGTGAAGCCAGTTACGGTATCTGAGTTTTTGCAGAGTAATGTGGTCCAGAAGGGGCAGCAGAGCGGTTTAAACAAGCGTAGTAGAAGTAGTTCTGTAGGTGTAGATTTTGAGGGTGATTCAGAAGAGGATCTGTTAGAAGCAATTTGTGTTGTAAAAATGAGAGAGAGAAAACGAACTAGGAATTCAAGTAAGGATATAAATGAGAGAAGTCTGAAGGAGGCCAGAGAGAAAAATATAGGTTCTGTGAATTCTTCCTCATCTTCTTCTTCATCATCAGCTTCTTCTAGCTCATCAGTTTCAAAACGTGATGGTTATTGCAATGGTGTGTCTGCAGTGAGAAATGTGAAGGTATCACATCGCATCCCTTTCAGTTTGTTTTGGTGCTGCATTGAGTTATACTTTCTGTAGCCATCTGTTGGAGAGAGTGGCCCCTGTTATACTGCATTTCATTTTTGTAGCTGAATGATGCTGACTTTTCTTGCTTCAAACAGGTCAAAGGACAAGATATCGAAAGATGTCACCAGTGCATGAAAAAAGAAAGAATAGTCGTTGTCCTTTGTAAGAAATGTAATAGAGTGTACTGCGTACAGTGCATCAAACAATGGTAAATTTTCTAATGACAAACCAATTATCCAACGTGATTTGTTTTGTCTAGATGAACTTAGATATCCTTTTGTTTCTTATATTATCTCATTTGGTGTATATAGGTATCCTGAGATGACAGAAGGGCAATTTGCAAAACGATGCCCATTTTGTCGTAAAAAATGCAATTGCAATGTGTGTTTGCACTCAAGCGGGTTGATTAAGGTTGGTCCTGTGCTCATGTCCCTCTTTGCTTGTGATCTGTGAGGATATTTAAAGTTAAAAAGAAGAAAAAGAAGTGAAAGCTGCATCATGTTAAATACTTGACATATCAGCAGTTGGAGGAGTATTTTTATTGCTGAAAGTTACGTTGGATGTTTTTCACTCGTTCCTAAGTAGTCCATCATGTTTCTTGTCTCCAGACATCAAAAAGGGATATCACCAACAGTGAAAAGGTTCAGCATCTGCATTATATGATCAAGTTGTTGCTTCCTTTTCTGGAACAAATCTGTGATGAACAAACTGAAGAAATGCAGATTGAGGCCGGCATTCGAGGTATCCTCTGTTTCCATGACAGAATTTGATGTGATCAAATGAGTTCTTCTGTTAAACTTCTTTTTGCTGATAGCTTTTTGATGTGCTTGTGGCAACCAGGCTGCCCATTTGATATAGCTGAGAACTTTTGCTACAGTGATGAGCGTGTATATTGGTACGCTCCTTCTCTCCACTGAACAAGTAATTACCTTTTGATTTTAGTCACTCAATTAAAGTTCATTCACTGCATTTCTTTTCGGGATTGTGGAGCAGCAATCACTGCGCCACTTCTATCATTGACTTTCACCGCAGCTGTCCAAAATGTTCTTATGAACTGTGCCTTAGTTGTTGTCGAGAGATTCGTAAGGGAAGCCTTTCAAGACGTGCTGAAAAGAAGTTTTGGTATGTTGATAGAGGCTCTGGTTATATGCATGGTGGAGATCCACAACCTTGTCATTCCCAAAATCCTTATGATCACATTGAGCCTCTAGTTCTATCATGGAATGCCAATGAAGATGGTAGCATTTCTTGCCCGTCAAATGAAATGGGTGGTTGTGGTGATTGTGCATTGGAGCTAAAGCATATCCTTCCGCCAAGACAGGTTGCAGAGTTGAAAAGGAAGGCAGCAGAATTATTGGAAATTTGTGGCACTGAACAGGCAAGTTTGATGTGCAAGTGCAATGAAACAGGGAAAGGACTGTTAAGAAGAGCAGCTTTCAGGGAAGGATCTGAGGACAATTACTTGTATTGTCCTGCTTCAAAGGATATTCTTGAGGATGAAAAACTTTTTCACTTCCAAAAGCACTGGGCTAAAGGTGAGCCAGTTATAGTTTGTGATGTTCTTGAGGAGACAACTCATCTGAGCTGGGAGCCGATGGTCATGTGGCGTGCACTATGTGAAAATGTGGATTCAGATATTAGTTCAAAGATGTCTGAAGTGAAGGCTATTGATTGTTTGGCATGTTGCGAGGTTTAGCTCCACCATCCTTCCCTGCACTTATTTTTCAGCCAGGAACACTTGTCAAAGCCATTTGGATGACAGAATGAGCAAAATCATCTGTTTTGCTTTATGAGTGATGGAAAAGAAATATGTTCTGCTCATATACTTTCTGAATTTCTTACTCTAAACTTGTTATATTTTACATTAACTCACAGAATGCTGACTTTGTAAGAATATTCAGGTGGAGATTAATACCCGACAGTTTTTTAAAGGCTATATGGAAGGGAGAACATATCATAACTTTTGGCCTGAGATGCTTAAGCTGAAGGACTGGCCTCCATGTGATAAATTTGAAAAACTTTTGCCACGCCATTGTGATGAGTTTATCAGAGCACTGCCATTTCAAGAATACAGTGATCCAAATGCTGGAATCCTGAATGTTGCTGCGAAGTTTCCTGAAGAAAAGCTGAAACCAGACTTGGGTCCAAAAACTTATATTGCATATGGTACAAGAGAAGAGCTTGGAAGAGGGGACTCGGTGACCAAGCTTCACTGTGATATGGCAGATGCGGTACATTTTATTTTGTGTACAATTTATTTCGTGTAGTAAAAGATGGTTATTTGAATGGTGAGCAATTCCGTGTGCCAAAAACTGTTATTTATCTAATCTCAAATTTCTGTTGAGTATATGCATCCTGGTGTCCAAGAATAAATTTAAGTGGGCTCCTACAGTTCCAAGCAAATTTGTCCTCTTATCACATAAATCACAGGAATCGATAGGTTTGCCGGTTTAAATTATATTATATTCCTTTCAGTTTAAGATGACATAGCAGAATTTGCCTTTTGGTTGTAGAATGTGCTGTTTACTTGGGAGCATCGGGTTCTTTATTAGGCAAAGAAAGCTGACGGTCCAAGTATTTGACTTTTGTGTGCATCAGCTAAAGTGATTCGTATCTCTATTGCAATATTGTGCTTTGAATTGCATTTCTGTGCTGATGTCTCAAATGTCTATTATCGAACAAAAATATTCCCTTTCAATTTTCATACCAACTTTCTATGAATTTGTGTTCCAAATTTGCATAATGGGCAGCAATTTAGAGTTTTACTGGAGCAAGCTTTGAGCTCTGAAGGTGCTTGGCATTCAAGAGGCCAGAACTTGGAATGCAGTGATTGTTCATAAGACATCATTTATACTTGTTGATTTCTTGTCATACTTTTTTTTTTTCTAATTAAGGGAAAATTGTTCTCTGATGCAGGTGAATATTTTGACACAAACTGCCGATGTACTATTAAGTGAAGCACAACGCTCTGCCATTGAGCAGTTGAAAATGAAGCACAGGGAACAGGATGAGAAGGAACATTTAGAAAATGACAAGGTAGACAATCCTCACATTGAACTTGATCAGGGAAATGATAGTTTGAAAGAAGAGATTGATGTCTCAGAAATTAGAGGGCCACAGCCGCAGCCCTCTGAAATTAATGAAGAACTAAAGAACTCTGAAGATGTGTTCAGAGGAGCTGCACTTTCTGGTTTACCCACAGAAGGGGAGACAGCGGACACAGCAGGTGGTAGCGCTTTGTGGGACATTTTCAGGAGGGAGGATGTTCCCAAGTTAGAGGAATATCTTAGAAAGCACTTCAAAGAATTCAGGCACACTTTCTGTGCCCCCGTAGAACAGGTATATTCTATGGTTCTCTCTTGTCTTTTTTTTTTTCAGCCTTGTTCGTTGTCATTGTACCAAAAATTAACTGGTTACAAGTAGGTCGATCATCCAATTCATGACCAATGTTTCTATTTAAATTTGGAGCATAAAAGGAAATTGAAGGAGGAATTCGGTGAGTAATTGTAAAACACTGGTTTTATTTGCTTTTGACGTTTTAGGTCCAATGTATTCTGTATGGTTTGTTAATCACTTTGATTCGTTTACACGCCAGGAGTTGAAGCCTGGACATTTGAACAAAGAGTTGGAGAGGCTGTTTTTATACCCGCTGGATGCCCACACCAAGTTAGGAATCTTCAGGTGCGTCCTTAGACTCCATTTTCCTTCTTCAAACATGTAAAGGTTTTGTTATTAACTATAAACTAAAAAAGAAATGGTTTTACTATCCCTCTTCTTGCAACATTATATTCATTCGAGTGGTGTTTTGTTTTCATTTTTTTTTAATATAAGATTTGTTTTTTTATTGAGTTATCGTATTTTTATAATATAGATTCTAAATTTGATAGGTTAATTTAATTGGCTTGAATTTTTTTAATTATTTTTTTAATTTTATAATTTAATATTAAGTTGATTGAGAATTAAACTTTATTTTGTTTATTTTCTATTATATTATTTCATCTTGTTGACTTAGGAATAATACTTAATGAATTAATTTGAGTTGATACAAGTTGGTTTTTGTGTTTTTTATAATTTATTTTTTTCAATTTCATTATCCAACATTGAGTCAGTTAAGAATTAAATTTTATAATCTAATTTAATTTGCTTTCGGTGAGGATATTTTGTTCTTTTGATCAAAGTTATGGGTTTTGGTATATTTAACTATAGTTAAATCAAGTCATTTTTTTATTTTTTTTTTAAGAAATTATCTCAGTTTCATGATTTGAATTATGGTTTTTTCAACGTTGGATTTTTTTTTTAGTTATTCTTATTTTATAACCTAAGTCACAAGTTTTGTTGATTAACCTAATTGACTTAGTGTTTTTTAATCGATTTTTTTTTTCAATTTCATCATTTAATATTGTGTTTAATTAAAAATTAAACTTCATGATTTGTTTTGGTTTACTTTTTATTAGGTTATTCTGATCTAATGACCTGGGCATAATGTTTAATGGGTAACTCAATTTGACTTCACTTATTTTTATGTTATTTTTTAATTAAAATTGATATAAATTTTATGATTCAATAATTGCTCCAACATAACTGATTAAGAATTAAATTTTATAATTTGCTTTGATTTATTTTTGGTGTTCTAAGTCTCATAACTAAAGTTGTGGATAATCAAAGTTGTGGATTTAATCAATCTTAGTTAAATCAATTTTTATTTTTCATTCTATTAAGTTATTTCAAATTGATTACTCAAGTAATGAGTTTAGCGAATTAACTTAGGTTATTTTTTATTTTTAATTTTAATTTTATCTTTTAATATTGAGCTAATTAGGGATTGAAATTTGTAATTTGTTTTGATTTGTTTTCCATGAGGTTATATTAGTTTTTTTACTTGAGTCATGGGTTTGATATGTTAACTTATGGTTTTTAGGTCATTTTTAATGGTTTTTTTTTCTTTTTAAAATCATCTTTCAACATTGGGTTAATTGATAATTAAACTTAATAATTTGTTTTGATTTACTTTCTATGAAATTATTATAGTTTCATAACTTAGGTCGCTGATTTGACATCTTAAACTGAGTTGACTCAAGTTAATACATTATGTTGTTATTTTAATATTAAAAAAGGATGTCATCTTAATTTTTTTTTTGGTTAAACAATGTTTTTATGGGTTGTATAAGTTTTTTTGTGGACATGTCAAGTCAATCAATTTACATTGGGTCAACATTCACATGATTAGAAATTTTTTATTAACATCTAAATATGTGTTGTTGTTCAAGAAAGATTTGACATAACTGACATCGTAGTGCGCATCAATACTCTAAATATAAACTAAAAAAGAAGGGGGTTATATTGTACCCCCTCACAAAGAGTTATTTATTGTTATAATGTATTGATTTCTTTTTTTTTTATTCTTTGTTTTGATTTTATTTTTTCAATTAATTTTTTTTATTTTACTTTTTAATATTAGATTTGTTTTTTTATTGAGTTATTACTCTTCATTAGTCAATTTTTTTAATTAACTTTTCTTTTGAAATTTCATATGTTAATATTGAGTTAATTAAGAATTAGGCTTTGTGATTTATTTTGTTACTTTCTATTATGTTATTTCAACTTTATGCCATAAGAATAGTACTTAATGGATTAATTTAAATTGACTTAAATTGTTTTTTGTGTTGTTTTTAATTGATTTTTAAAAAAATTTCATTATTCAATAATAGGAAAGTTGAGAATTGAATTTTATAATATGTTTTAATTTGCTTTCTATTGAAAATCTTACTTTTATGATCAAGGTCATAAGTTTTGGTATATTTAACCTTAGTTAAATTAGGTCATTTGTTTTTATTTTTTTTATAAGAGTTTCTCACTCTTTTATCGATTTTATTGAATTGAATTTTTTAATGACCACGAGTCTTTCAATATTGGATTTGTTTTTTATTAGGTTATCTTTATCTTATGACTCGGATTACAGGTTTAATTGGTTAACTCAATGGACTCAGTTTTGTGTTTTGTTTTTCTAATTGATTTTTTTTAATTTCATTATTTAGTATTCTCTTTGATTATGAATTAAGTTTTATGATTTATTAGTTTTTTTTTATTATGTTATGGCAATTTCATGACCCGGTATTTAGTAGGTTAATCTAGGTTGACTTAACTTGTTTTTTTAATTAATGTTTTTACAAATTTCATCATCCAATATTAGGTCTGACAAATGCGTTTAAAAAATAAGTTTTATAATTTATTTTGATTTATTTTTTACAAAACTATTTCAATCCCATGATAAAAGTCATAGATATGGTAGGTTGGTCTATGTTAAATCATGTTACTTTTTAATTTTTTATGAGAGTGTATCGATCTAATAACTTAAATCATAGGTTTAATTAATTAATATGAATTATTTTTATATTATTTTTAATTGATTTTTTAATCATATCCTCCAATATTGAGCTGATTGAGGATTAAAATTTATAATTTGTATTAATTTGTTTTTCATGGGGTTATCTCAGTCTTATAATTTGAGTTGTGGGTTTGATATGTTAACTCGAGTTGCTTTTTAGATTTTTTTTAATTGATTTATTTTTTAATTTTATGATTCAATATTAGATTTATTGAGAATTAAGTAATATAATTTATTTTAATTTTTTTACGGGGTTATTAGTCTCATGATTGATGAATTTAAAATTTTAACTAATATTAATTTAAGTTAATTCAATATATTTTTATTTTAATATTAAAAAATTATTTTTTATATTTTTTAATCAAATTATATTTTTAACATTTTTTTTTTACAAGTTACATTAAATCAATTTTCACAATATAATCTATATCATGCGAAACTAATTTGCCCTTTCTTTTTGTACAAAGTAAAAGTGTTATCTCACATTAACCGCTGCTAGAGTGATGAGACAAAGTAATCACCGCCATTGAATTGTGGGCCCCTCTATTTTATGTCCCGCAAATTAAAGTCTGAATATGTTACGCCATGATTGTGTTATCATGTTGTAATGTGTTTTTTTTTATATAAAAATATTTTAAAATAATTTGTTTTTAAATTTTTTATATTGACATTTAAAAAAAATATTAATTTAATATTTTATAAAATATGTTTTTAAAACATATTCAAATATTATTCCAAACATGAAAATAAAGTATGCCTTACCCTGTCGATCTTTCCTTGGCTGGACAGAAGAACAAAACCGTGTCAATCTAACCAACAACGATACAACAATAGAAAGACAATGATGCAGTAGGATTTTTAAGAAAAAAATGTTTTTGATGTTTTTATTTTCTTTCTATTTAGTTTAGAAAATAAAATATTGAAATTTATAATTTAATTTTTCTTTTCTTGGTTTAAGAATCCATTAATTATGGATTGAGATTTTTTTTCCTATTTAAGGCAGACTTAATTATTTCCTATTTAGTTTTGGAAAGTAATTTCCTTTATAATTTATTTTTTTCTATTTAGTTTAGGAAATCAAATATTGAAATTGATAAATTTTTTTCTTAGTTTAGGAATCCTTAAAATAACTCAATAATTGTTGAATGAGATTCTTTTCCCTTTTAAGGTAGGCTTAAAACTAGTATAAATAAAATTATTTAGCTTGTATTTTAGCAAAATATATCACTTTTTTATTTTTTGAATAAAATAATGAATTAGGGTTCTATGTGATAACCCTATTCAACTTCAATTCTCTTTTTCTAGCTTGTTATCTTCTTGTTTGTGTTTCTATCTATATCAGCTAGTGTCAAAGTTTAATGATTTTTGATGGTTTTGGTTAGAAGTCATAAAGCACGTTTATAAGAGCTTAATAATTTTTGGTGATTAATTGTTATATGTTTATAAGAGCTCAATAATTCTTGGTGATTAATTGTTATATGTTATTGAATAACCATAACTAGAAGAGGTCGCAAAGTAGGACTTGTTTGTTTATAAAGGGATGAGAGGTTTCCCTCGAGAAATACACGTTCAAGAGCTAGTGATAGAAGACTTATAGAGACAAATTGCAAAATTGAAAAGAAATGTCAAAGAACTGGTATAAAAGATATGTAGAGATAGATTGTAAAATTAACCTGTAAGTTTGCAAAGGTGAGAAGCTTGGGAGGTTGTGAGAAGATTAATCACATATTTATGGTTAATTTTGAGAACTTGTTTTAAAAAAATGAGCAGAGGAAACAATTTCTTCATTAGGAAATAAAAGATTTTAATGATTCTAGTTCTTTTTTTTAAATCAACACTAAATTTTGACAAGGATGATGAAGATGATGTTGAAGTAGAAGAACTAGATGTAATTTTCTTGGTTTATGATAATTATAATAAGAAACCAAATTAGATGTGATTATAGAAGTGATTTTTGATGAATCACATTGCGAAGGATATGGATTTTGGAATTGATAAGGTTAAAATAATGAAGAGGATTTTCAAATCTTCTTTTAACTCCAAGATTGGTTTTATTGTTACGGAGTTTGAGTATGTTGTTAATAGATATGATGTTTCTAATGAAAAGGTTGAGCACGTAACTAGTTGGAAACTTTTGATTGAATATCTATGAGATTGATGCTAAGATGTTAGGAACACAATGAAATGGATCACACATAAAAGAATGTTCATAAAAATATTCATGGTTGATTATAGTTTGTGACTAGGGTATGAACTTAGGACAAGTTCAATATCGAGGAGATTGATGATGAGCTTT